GGCAAACTTAGCGGGGAGGCTGAGGCAGAAGGATGACTTGAGCCCAGGAGCTCAAGGGTATAGTAAGCTATGATCATACCACTGCACTCCAGCCTGGGTGGAGTGATAGATACCAGAGACTGGGAAGAGTGGGTGGGGGAAAGGGAAATGAACAGATTGTTGGTTATGGATACAAACATACCATTAGATAGAAGAAACACGTTTTCATGTTTGATAGCCAACTAGGGTGACTAAGCAACAATATGTATATTTTAAAGTTACTAGAATGGAGGACTTGAAATAATATGAACAACATAAAAATCACAATAAACACTTAAGATGATGGATACTCCAGATACCCTGACATAATCATTATACATACTGTGCATGTAACACTCACATGTACCCTGTTAATATGTAAATTATTATTTATCAGTAAAAGAGAAAAAATAGCTGCATCCCATTTGTGACTAGTAATTGAGGTTTAGATGAAAGAATTCAGATGTTAACAAGGATAAAAGATAGTTCATATTCAGAAAGATGTTAAATTGTAAAATGGCAAATGAAAATTGAAGAATTAGAACTTAAGAAATCTAATAGGTAGGCATCACTGCAATCAATTAACTATCTTGTGGGATACTCAACCACAGTTTATCACTTTGTAATAAGTTAGTAGCTTACATTTTAAGAAGTCAGTATAGTAAAACGCATTTTTCTATTTGGGATAGGATAGATCCAGAGCCAGAGTTTGACCAAACAAACAGGAAGGGTCTCAAGATGGTTGTTCCAGGGCTGGGCCCATGGCTCACAAAGTCATCAAGGTCCTAGGTCCTTTGTGTGCTGACTCATGGTTGATTCTGGCACACTGAACTCACAAGCACTGCCAAGGGAACCTGGGAAGGGCCACCACAAGGTGTGGTAGGCAAGGACAATGTCATTAAAGGACGTGTGTAGTCAGAAGGTTAAATCTCTGATGGTGGCTGCTACATTTTTGGCATCATGTCCTAGTGCCAGAATAATTGAAGGGGGAAACATCAAAATATTTTCTAGCCAAGTTAGTCTCTTTCTTATTGGACAATCAGAAAATCAAAAGCTTTTCAAGAAGTCTCAAGAGGTAGACTGTGAATCAGTGTCAGTGACAGGAACTCTGTCCCATGTCATTGCTGGCTGGAAGGTGGCTAGGGACCGTGGTTCAATCTGCCACCTCCAATGCTGAAAGATTACTCTGTTATTAACATTTTGGTGGATGTTTTTCTGGGTTCCTCTTGCTTCTCTGTCTCTTTTCTGCATGTATGTGTAGACACTCTCAATTGTGTCTAATTGGGATCATGCTCTGTGCTAGC